ATCCTTCCTACCTTCTTCTTCCCTCCTCTCCTACTCCTTCTCTACTTCCCCTTCCTTTCTCCCCCTCCTCCTTTCTTCCCCCGTAACCTTCTCTCCTACTCTTATTTCCCTTTCCTTTCTTCCTCTCCTCTCCTCTTCCCTTTCTTCTATTCCTCTCTCTCCTTCTCCCTTCCTTCAATCTCCCTACTCTTTCTTCCATTTCTCTCTATTGCTGTATTCATTTTCAATTCAGTGTTTTTTTTTTCCTATGGTGTCCAGGCATCCCCGATTCTCTCCATTTATTGCATATATTCCTTAAGATTCCCATCATGTTTTTTAATTCTTAACACTGTATTTCAACTTATTCCATTTTTACCTTAAAATCTTTCAACTTAATTAACCTTCCACCTCTTATTTTCTATAATTCCTAATTTCTTATTCCCACTTCAATAATTATTTTTCTCTTTTCCTAATATTTCAATTACTTTCAGTTATTGTTACATATAAACATTTCGTATCTGCTGGTCTATTTTACATTGAACAATATCATCTTTACTTACATCATTTACTTACATCATTTACTTACATTAGGGGTCCTCAAACTCTGGCCCGCGGGCTGGGTACGGCCTGCTGACACAATGTATCTGTCCTGCGCAGTGGAGGGATTCAGCCCCGCCCCCTGCCCTGCGCCACCACTCCCAACCCTCGCATGGATGGCTTTTCGGCTGAAGAGGTTGTAGGAAAAAAAATGCCTTTAAAAGCCTCTGGCGACCCCAGCTGAGTTGCCTGATCGTCAGAGGCTTTTAAAAGCATTTTTTTTCTGCAACCTCTTAAGGTTAAAAAATAACTTAAAAAATGATCTAGTAAAAAGAAAAGTCAAACAAAATCAAATAAAACACTCCTAGGAGGAAAACAAATTAAAGTTCATTTGTGTGTATTATTTAATGGACTGCTAAATTGGCAAAATGGAGTGCTAAATTGGCTCCGCCCACTCATCCACACCCAGCCAGTCACATGGCCACCAAGCCACGCCCACCTAGTCACATGGGGGGGCAGCCACACCCACCTAGCCAGTCCGGCCCTCCAACAGTCTGAGGGACCCTAAAGTGGCCCCCTGTTCAAAAAGTTTGAAGACCCCTGACTTACCTCATTTACTAACATTTCAATTTTATTTCTTAATTTCAATTTCCTTTGTTTTTTCAATCTTTGGCACGCATTTCTTTACCCTCAGCAGATGTTTCTCTCCAATCCTTAAATCCACAGACAACAAAATATAAACCTTTCTATCTTTCACATTGCTTCTGCTGATCTGTTTTACATTATAAAATATATTTCTTTTTTTTAACTTCTTACATACCTTTCATTTCATCTTTATTTACATTATTTACTAACATTTCAATTTTATGTCTTAATTTCATTTAAGTGTTCCCTTTTACAATAATCTATATATTTATTCCAATTTGTTTCTTACATACAATTTCTACTACTAATACCATTTCCTTAAATCAACATGTTAATGCTTTAATTCCCTTTCTACTACATTTTTTTCCCTTCCCCTTTTAACCATTTTCTTTTAAACTCTCCAGAATTCCACTTCTTAATATTTTCCTCCCTTTCTCCCGTCCTCCTCCTCCTCCTCCTCCTCCTCCTCTTCTTCTTCTCCTTCTTCTTCTCCTTCTTGTATTTATTGTACTTCCTTCCTGCATCTTTTCTCTAATTTTTAACGTTATTATCCTTTTAATTCTTCCCCTCACTCTTTTCCCATTTCCTTCTCTTTTCTTCTTTTTTGAGAGATATTCCCTATTTTTATTTTATCACTGTTAATCTCAGTGTAATCATCTATATTTTTCCTTCAATTATTTTCTTTCCAACATTATATTCTTGCTTCTCACTTTTCTCTTTCTTTCTTTTTTGTATTCTATCCAATCTTCTGCTTCTCTGTTTCCCTTAAACGCTTCTCGCACTTTTTGCAACATCTCCCTTAACTCCTCATACTCATGCTCCCAATTCTCCATATGTTCAATTTAAGAAGAAATAATTTTTAAATTTATTATTATTTTATCTTAAACTGTATATAGTTTTAATTCAAGCCCATTTGATGTCTTTTTTTCTTCTTTTTTTTTCCAAGTAGTGTCCAATTCAGATAGTCATTTGAACCTTTCCAGTTTGAGATTGTATTCTTTCAACTTCTTTTTATAATCTTACTCCAGCTGTTTAAACAAATACTCCTTAAAAGGCTTCTAATGCTGATTTGAGTGCAGTATTTCTTTTCCACAGCAGATGTCTCTCTCTAATCCACAAAACCCCAGGCAAAAGTATCAATTGTAAATCCACAAAAGTAGTACTTCCCGTTCTTCGATTAATTCCTTTTGTTGTTTCTCTTAATTTCTTTTTCCTTATATTATTCTTAATTTCTTCCAAGTCCAATTCTAAATCCAGTTCTCTTTTAGGGCTTTCATTTTTAAAGTTCATCTTTATTTTTTTTCCTTCACTTTGAATTCCTAAATACCAATTAGCTGCTTATTTCAGGTTGGGACCTCTTTTAAAGTTTTTTTAAAAAAATTCTTCTTCCCTGTGAGTTGGCCAATCACTCACTTGGTAACAATACTCAGTTTCATCACTGATCCTGCTCAATTCTTAGTCCGGTTGCCCCAGCTTGTAAGTGGCCACTTTAATGGCCACTGCCCCCGCCGCAGGGTCAAAGAGCTGCCTCCAACCTTTCGAGGAACTTGCCTGTTCCTCTTGGTCTTTAGGCGCCTCTCTCTCTCCCCCATCCGTACAAGACAGATCCGGTCTGAAGACACACACACACACACACACACACACCCCCTAACAGCGGTTTGTCAGTTTGGGTTTTCGCAAAGCTCAATGGAGCTTCGCTATTTCCCAACCAGTATCGCCGCAACGTTTCCAGTTTCTCCCAGAAAGAAAATGCATTATATTTTAAAATTGTAACATCTGTAGTATCTTCTTTTAAAACAATTGGCTTTATGTTAAAGCTCAAATCTTAGAAAACTCAGATTTCTAATTTTGCTAAGTAATCACTCACTAAAGAGTTAGTAGAATATTACTTATATTTTTATATGTTGCTGATAGATCAATTTACTTATTTAAATATAACAGAAAATATTAAGAAAATATAGTACAGGTAGTCCTTCACTTACAGCCACAATTGAGCCCAAACTTTCTGTTGTTAAAGAAGAAAGTTGTTCAGTGAGTTTGACCCATTTTACAACCTTTTTGCCAAAGTTATTAAGTGAATCACTGTAGTTAAATTAGTAACATGGTTATTAAGTGAGTCTGGCTTCCCCATTGACTTTGCTTGTGAGAAGGTTGCAAAAGATGATCACATGACCCTGGAACACAGCAATCATCATTACACATTTTTTCATTGCTGTTGTAAGTTTGAACGATCACTAAACAAATGGTTGTAAATCAAGGACAACCTGTAGCTGGATTCAAAGAAGGTTATTTCTCTTTATTGCCTGTAATCTCTTAGTTTGAATTTATTACATTGCACTGATCAACAAGGGTTAACAGGACACCAGTTGCATACTAAACTAGAGCTACTTCTATCCATTGACTTGCTTTCAGGCCAGCTAAAGGATGTAGAACAGATCTTTAATCCCCTGCTACTCAGAGAAACAGGAAAACTTATTACATGAATTCTCTAGGATAAGCTACTTTAGCAAAGAAAGTTCATTTAAAAAATCCCAGTTCTTTGGCTTCTATTGCAATCCGGGTCTGCTGGGAATATATGTAGTCCAAAGATATATTTTCAACAAAGGATAACAACAACCCCCCTCTCTCTCTCTCTCTCTCTCTTTTTTTTTTTTGCTAATCTTAAACCAAGTCACAACAGAGACTGTTGCAGGTATGTGTATTAAGAAAAGAAGCTGTTATTTTATGCTGAACATGCTTCAAAGAGGAGAGAACAGTAGAGGGAATTTAAAGAATACAAGATACTTGGGAAAACTTATTGTTGCAAGATTGAATCTGGGTCAGTCACTGAGACCAGAGACATACACAGAGAAAGATCTTGAATTTTCATCTCGCTCTTTTGCATTTTCAATATAATTTCATCCTTCTTCAGTTTCTTTCACTGAGACACAGGCTAAGCAAGATGGCCATCCTGATCACTCTACCAGTTTTATTTAGGCAAGCGAACATTCATACCATACCATTTTAATCACAAGAGAAAAAATAAAGCTAATGCTCTGTATGAAAAGCACCATGCACAGCTCCCCATCACAAATAGTATAAAAATGCATCCTTTCTGCTTTCTGGTATAATTGATGGTTCCCTTCTTAAAACAGATACTTATTAACTAATGCAGGATAACCTGTGGCCCTCAGTTCACATCGTGCAGACCCCAAACTTTATAAAATATCACCTAAACTTGGCAGAGAAGCTGATAGCCAGCAAATGGATTCTTTTCTCTTTCTGCATCTTGGAAAGTCCTTTCTTGAAAGAGTTGGATTGTCTGCAATTGTCCCTGTGAAGTAATTATGTTTGTATTTCTGATCCTGCCATATAACATGACAAATATTTGAAAGTGAATTAAAGCCAGGATATTTGTTGAGCAAAATCAGCCAAGAATAACCAAAAGCAGAACTGAGTTGTGTCATTGTCTTTCAGGATACCTTCTTTGGTATAAAGGAATGTACTAGGCTTTTGAGGGAATCCAAAATGTTTTTAGCTTTTTTTAGTTCAGCTACATTCTACTTTTCCAGGGTAGAGAGAGACTTTTTCTTTCTTTCTTATGGAAAGAGTACCAGTTGTGGAGATAGTCCTTTATCCCAGGACCCCTAAAATACTTTAAATAATCATGCAGAAAACTTCCAAATTTTAAAAAACACGATCGTGCACCTTTTCATGTACTGAGTGGTACTTATTCTTAGCCTTATTATTGTTTCAGAAATAGAAAGCTGAATGCATTCCACATCTATTTTCCTCAATAGATAATTTAGGGTAAGTAGAAATATAAAAGTATATATAACATGAGCCAAACATGGACCAACCTTTACAAAAGCTAAGTAGTTTATGCATTGTTTCTGCATATAGGAAAGCTGCATTTGTTCTGTGATCTGGCTCGTTGCTTCTCCAGAAGAAATGAAGTAAATCCTGATTGGGTATCCTTTTTCTTTCTTTGCCACATCGGATGTCAAATTATAATTCAAATCTAGGCCAAAAAAAAAAAAATCATAACAAAGATTGTTTTCTGCTGTTAACATATCATAGGTTTTTCATGATCACTATTGTGATTTAGTATTATGAAACCTCAATATATTTAGAAGTGGGTCGCTTCTGTACTACATTCACTTCTATGTCCTAGTAACAAACCCCAATTTCAAAAGAACATTTGCAAATTTGGATGAATGCCAATATTCTAGAGCAAACCAGCACAACGCAGCTGGTTTGAATACAGCTAATCAGCCATACAAGAAGTCCTCCTTAGTACTTCAGATTCCTACAGAAAATAAGAACTGAGAAATGAAAGTTTTATTCAACTTACTGAATATTAATTTCTGCGGGCTCATAGGAAGGAAGGAAGGAAGGAAGGAAGGAAGGAAGGAAGGAAGGAAGGAAGGAAGGAAGGAAGGAAGGAAGGAAGGAGGGAGGGAAGGAGAGGGGAGGAAAGAAGGAAGGAGGGAAGGGAGGGAGGAAAGGAGGGAGGGAGGGGGAGGGAAGGGAAGAAGGAGGGAAGGAAGGAAGGAAGGAAGGAAGGAAGGAAGGCAGGCAGGCAGGCTATAATTTCTCTACACATTTGTGGTACAGCTTAAACAAATGTCACCTAGCTCTTTTTTCCACATGAAATCTTAAATCTGTCACTGACTCTATTACATCACCTCCAGACACATCAGCAAAGCTGATACAGAGAACACAATTTAATATGAAGGAGATTTCTAGGTTTCCCTATTGTATATTTCCAAAAAACTGAACTGAAAAATATAAATTCTAGCACTTCACTAGCACAGTTCCATTATGATCAACATCTTAAAGGGAGACTCGAAAGTTCCAATAGTAAGAATAAAATTAAATTGCGTAACTGTATACGTACGTGACAGTGGCAACAGTTTTTCGTGTCTTTGTCACAGATAACATAATTAGAATGCATTCTGCTTGATGCAGATTTATTTTAATTAAGTGTGCCATTGGTCTATTTTATCTCATTTTGTTTCCCATTTTAGTCAGGTTCTCATATCATATAACCCATATAAAATTCTTCCATTGGGGCAGGTATTAACAGACCACTAACACATTGATTTTAAACTCAGCTGAGACTCTTCAGGCTAGAGGAGAAGTCAGGCACCAAATGCAAAAAGAATATGGAAAAGGAAGGGAAATATCCTGAGTGAGCACAAACTGTATTGGACAGATGAACTCTATATATATAAAAGCCAAGTACCACTCACTCATCACGAAATCTCCAAAACGGTAAAGCCTACAAACTTGAAATTTGGCACGTGTGTTCCTCTTGGCTCACTAAGAAAGGATTTTTTTAAATGACTATCAGATTATTATTATTTCATATACAGAATTATATTCACACTCTCTGATGCTAAGGAGTTAGACATTCTACTCCCCCTCCCCACCTGAAAGGAACTCTGTCCCAACTGCCAGTTGCTTTATATTAACATGCTCTGATGCTACCCCTTCGCTAAACTGGGCATGGGCGTGGCCAGTGCGTGACTCAACTGGCCTGCAGGCTGGGACATTCTATTCCCCCTCCCCCCTCTGTTCCAACTGCCAGTTGCTTTATATTAACATGCTCTGATGCTACAGAGTTACACATTCTACATTAAGTTTCAGGCTTCAAGTGTCAATTTATCACACCTGATCACACAATTTCATAGTGAAGCACAGGCGTCCAGCTAGTAATAACATATGCATAACTGTTTGAGACAGAAGCTGAGACTCTAGAGTTCTGCTCTTCATTGGGTCATCATTATATACTTGAACAATAGGAATTACAGGGAAGTGTCAGAGGAGTATCTAACTAGGATCTGTGTTCAACTCTCTGCTCAATATAAAGCACTTTTTAAAAAAAAAATTGATTTATATGCCGCCATTCTCCGGAGACTCAGGGCGGCTTACAATGTGCTCAGCAATAGCCTTCATCCTTTTATATATTTATACCAAGTCAGCTTATTGCCCCCACAACTGGGTCCTCAATTTACCTACCTTAGAAAGGATGGAAGGCGGGGTCAACCTTGAGCCTTGGCGAGATTCGAACCTGCAGTAATTGTAGGCAGCTGGTCTTAATAACCAGCTTAATAACAGGGTGCCTTAGACCACTGTACTACCAAGGCTCTTGTTGAATGACCTTCAGCCAGTCCTATTTCTAAGTTTATTCTGCTTTAATTCTACTATGAGAATTAAAGGTTTATTTGGATATAGTAATAATAATATAGTAATAACCATTAAATATAAACATACATATAGAAACAGATTAAAAGAATTGGAAGGGACCTTGGATGTCATATATTCCAACCCACTATTCAAGCAGACCCTACACCAGAAGTGGTATTCGACCAGTTTACACCGGTTCGGGCGAACAGGTAGCGGAAATTTTATCTGGTACACCAAACCAATCAATACCACCAACGGCTGGCCCCGCCCATGCCCGCCACTCGCAGGTAAGTAATGTATGCCACCCACTCACCCTTCACCTTGGATTGGGGGCCAGGGTCCCAGGGACGCGCCATGCCCTGAGGCACCGGAGTTACCACTCACCTCGGCTGGGTCAGGGAATGTGCCATTCCCTGGCTCCATCTATGCCCCAGAGCCACCGCCCGCTTGCCACCCACTCTCCCGCCAGTCGCATGTGTTGCCCCATTTCCCCTCCATCAGAGGCCCCAACCCTAGCGTAGCCCCGCTTCCTCCCCGACTACCTCTTTCTTCGGGCTTACCTTCCTCCCGTGGCTGGTGGCAGAGGGAAAGGCAAGCCAGGCCTCCCCCATTGTCACGAGATGACCCGCTTCCTCTCCCACGACTGACTCTTTCTTCGGGCTTACCTTCCCGGGGTGCCTGGGGGCAGAGGGGAAGGCAAGCTCTCTTTTTTGGTGTGACTGCGAGAAGACTCCCAGCTGCCTCCTCTTTGCCAGCCACTTCCCACCAGCAGTAGCTGGCAGCCACCAAAAATTACTGGAGGTCTCGAACCCACCAAAAAAGCCACTGCAGTGCTGTCACTGCCCTGTTCTTCATGCCAGCCATGCAAGTGCACCCCATTGCCTGCTGTGGCGGAGGTCTGAAGGAGGGGAAACGGGGTGACAGGTGTGACTGGCGAAGTGAGTACGGGCGGCATGCAGGAGAAGGCCTTTGATACACTAGACCAGGCCTGGGCAGAAAATAGGTAGGAAGAAAGGCTGCAATAGCTGTAAATTCAATTTTTTTTCCTACCAGGTTCTCTGGGCATGGCTTGGTGGGAGGTCATGTGACTGAGTGGGTGTGGGTTAAGTGATGTCAAGTTGGCCAAGCCCACTCAGTCACATGACCCACCACTACCAAGCTATACCTACAGAACCGGTAGGAAAAAAATTTGAATACCACCACTGCAGATGGCAGTCCAGTATCTTCTTGAAAGCTTCCAGTGGAACTTCCAGTTGAGGTCACAGTGGGATCGGACTGGAAAATAGTGGGCACGAAATCCAGTCGGACGAACTGCTGCCGGGAGGCTTTTGAGCCATAGCCATTGTGCAGGGACGGTGAAGAAAGGAGAGGCATTTCATAGACCGCAAGGAATTGGCAATTTCCTCGCTGGAACAGAAAATTTCCTCGCTGGAACCGAAGCAGCAGACAACACAACCCAAGAATTGTGCAGGAGTGGCGATTGGACAGAGTGCCAGAACTGGGTGAGATAAATGCCAATTTATGCTAAAAAAAAAGTGGAAATTGAAGTTTCAAAAGCATTCCTGAGCTTGGACTAGTGGCTATCGGGCTTTTTTTTGGGGGGGGGGAACCACACACATTCAGAAAAAAGAGAAGGTATGGATTGTGATTTAAAGAATCTAAGATAAAGTTTTGGATTTGGAAAATTGGGAAAAGCAAAGAATGTTAAAAGGAAAGAAAATGATTTTCGGAAGAAAATAATAATTTATATGAGAACTTTGAAAAAATTATTGGACATTTTGACAAACAAAAGATTAAAAGAGCCTGCTTTGTAATGGAGTAGAAACGGAGAGTGCCATCTGCTGGAGGAAAGAAAAAGCTTTGTAATAATTTATTCAAATAGACAAAATAGAAATAGTAGTTGGAAATTTCGACCTTGGGTGTATAGAAGAATTGGATACCATGTAAAAAATTAAGGAGTGACTGTGTTTTACATCTGGGTGGTTGCTTTACTTTCCTCCTCTTCTAGAAGATAGTTTTATATTTGGATTTGACTGTTGCTGAATTGGGATAATAATTAATAATTGAGAAAAACATTCTAACTTTAAAGAATAAAGGAATAATTGAAGCAGAAAAGAAGAAAAGAGGAGGAGAAATAAGAAAATTATACAGACTTAAAATTTTGACCAAGTGTATAGAGACGTAATTGGGGGGAGGTATTGGTAACCTTTTAAACTGTCACAAAATAGAGTTGCAGATGTATGGAGAGTTACTTTTGATGCTCAAAAGCGTGTGTGAATCTTTTTTATTATTATTGAAAAGTTTTATAGGAAATACAAACATTTTCTCCCCCCCCGCCCTTCCCCCTTCACCCCATCCCTCTCCCCTTACCCTCCCACCCACCCCCCTCCCTAGACTTCCCAGAACAAGCACAGGGTATAGCATCCACAAACATAAACTAAAATATGCTAACAAATTGTTGATTTCAAATTCTTTCTAGGTCTTTAACTCCTTATAACTTAAAACACTACAAACATAAACTAAAAATTAAAAATGTTTCACTCATAAGCTATATGAATCTTCTTAGTCTGATACTTGTTTTGAATATAGTCAATCCATCTTCTCCATTCCGATATATATCTTTCGTTTGAATGGTCTTTAAGATATGATGAAATTTTTGCCATCTCTGCCAAATGCACGACCTTTAGTGTTCATTCCTCAATAGTAGGTGGATCTTCCTTCTTCCAATACTGTGCCACCAGTAACGTGGCAGCTGTTATTAAATTCAAAACCAACTTAGTTTCTATTACAGTACAGTCCGTAACTATTCCCAACAAAAAAAAAATGTGG